GCGGAGTTTATAGCATGATATGAGACATACAATCAGGGAATATAGCTGTGAAATTTTCTCATTAGGTTACACATTTTGGATGAAATTAAAAGACCACTTAAGTTATAAATCAGCAGTACTGTATTCGAATAACAATAGAAGTTCGACAAAGTCTAAGTTTATAGACTTCAAGTTCCTAGTTGTTAAGGAAAGAGTTTAGAGTGGTCAAGTTATTGTAAAACATATTGGTACAAACTCCATGATAGTGGATCTATTTACTAAATAGCTATCACCCAAGATCTTTTATGAGCATACAGCTCACATGGGTGTTGTATGTTTTGATAATATGTTAATTTAGTGGGAGTTTATATTTTTTATGTTGTCTAGACACATTTTGTTTATGGATATTTAAGTTATTTCAGAAATAAAGTATTTAGTTTTTTTCTCTTATTTAAGTATTTTTGGCTTGATCTTATTAAAGAATAAAGTAGGACCAGTTGAAAATAGACATATTTGAATCAAAGTATGCAATTTTCATGTTACACATCCATACTTGATCTACATCATTTGATTATGTTGATATATGTGATTATTGATGAGTTTAGTTATGATACTTGTAACGAAGAACACCTTATCCTATATTGACATAATCAATGGACAAGATTATTCGTAAATATTTTGGCTAAGATAGCAGTTGTTTTGAGCTCATAAGGTTTTGCACATTTATAAGGTAATACATGTGGTCCAAGTGGAAGATTGTTTCAAATATTAATTTGCCATGTGGGCCTATATATGTAATTAATTATGTATCAAAGGCAATCTTAAAATAAAACCCAAAATTAAAGTGGTCTAATAAAGAATTAAAGTTATTGGGTTTTGGGCATCTAAATAGAGTATAAGCCTAATTATGTCTAGAGACCATATTTCTTCGTATTGTATTTCATGATGGGTGTAATTTCCCATTCCGTGTCATTCCATTAACACAAGAATAACAAGAGAAAGCATATTGAAGAGGAAGGTCAAGAACCCGAAACAAATCAAGAAACAATAATCAAGATTAAAGAGAAAGAAGTCAAATCAAGAAATTGCAGTTGATCTTCAAGATTGGAAAACAATGGATCAAGGTATGTTCCACATTTATAATTATCTTGATGATTTGACGTGGATATCTTGACAATAAAGATAGAAGATTCATAAAGTTTTTAAGTTTTAGATCCAACAAAGTTCTCTAGCCACTTAATAATTGTATTTGTCAATTATTTTATCACTTTCACCACGCTACATCAATTGGTATCAGAGCCTCGTTCATTCCTAATAGTTTTCGTGGAATTCAATGACAAAAGTTATAATGTATAATAATAATATTTTTGTTCCCTTCGATCCAAAGAAGTCGATGGACATACATATGGATGAGGACTATGATGGTCCGGCAATTTTTAACAAAGAAGTAAAAGAATCTTTAAATTTCAGTTATTAAGATCCTCTAATTTTTTACGACGAAATTTATGAAATTTTGTGGATTTGGATGATAGTTAGGATGGATCCTTGATATTCAATGAAAAAATTGAAGCATGTATGGATTTTTTTGATGACGTTACAAAGTTTTATCTATTTTCTATGATGAGCCTGATGTTAACGTCTCTCATGGGTGGTCCAAAGAAATCATGGTTGGTTTTGCACACAAAAGAGTTGGTAGATCTTGAGATGTTTGCTATAGTTCGAATTTTGTTCGAAAAGTTTTCTTTTGTGTCTTGCAAATTTACCAAATAAATTATCATTATTAAAAGATTTTAGATGATAACACGGTACAAGATTTCAGGAGAGTGATGAAGATCGATTATGGATGATTTTATTTAATTTAAACAATTTTATCTATGTATTTTATTTTAGTTTATAGTTAATTTAGTCTTTAATTAGTATTGTGATCTTAATTTTCATAATTTTAATAAGATAAGATTTTAATTCCATTTTGAGTTAGTCGTTATCTTTGATTTTATCATTATCTAGAGTTAGACGTTATATAGAAGTTTAGTTATTATCTAGATTTTATGTATTACTTTAAATACAAGTTGTAAGCCTTATGGCAATAAAATTGAGTGTAATTTAAATTGAAATTTAAATTGTAGAGATTTCTCGACTTTCTTAGATTCTCGTATTTAATATTTAAATATCAACAAGTCCAATTCTCTGTATTCGTGTGCCAATCAAAGAGTTTGATGCCCAGATTTATGATATTCTTAGCAATCAAAAGAAATTAGAAGATGGTCATGTTCTGTATTCGTTTGGAATTAACGAAATTTCAATAGTGTGTTCGTCAATTATTTTATGGCTTCTGCCGTGCTACATCAGTTTTGCTGCTACGTGTTTAATGTTTTTCTTAAATGTTTCATAAAGAAAATAATACCAATTCAATAAGCCCAATTCACAAGAATAAAAATGTAGTCATTGTTCTTAAGATAGTTCCTAAAAAAAATGCATAATTCAAATATGGGTAAATAGTGCAAAATGTCCATACGTTTCATTTTTGCCATTTTCACCCCTACCTTCCACCTTTCATTACGCAAAAGGTCATTTTCAACCATTTTTCTAATAAAATGATGGTTTTACCCTTCTATTAAAATGTAACAAAAAGAAGAGAAAATAAAAAATAAACAACTAATTGCAATCATAGTCCTAATTTTTTCAAGATATTACAAATAAGACCTAAATTCTCCACCACCAGCACTTTCACAACCCCACCAGGCCACCACCTATAGATCTATATAGCACCACCTTCTGGCCAACACGCTCGCCGAACTCCACCACCACTAGCCTCTTTTCACTCTCCCTAACATCATCTCCCATAGTATTGGTCACAAAATCTATTGAAAATAGTCACATTTGCAACCTAAAATACCAAACTGCCGTATAAAACCCTTCACGGCAACCCGACTTTAGGCACCACCCACGGTCGGGAACCAACACCGACGGTAACCCTTTACCTTGACGAACCTATTGGCCTCATATCAATCAAACCTACCTTAAATCATGTTACTGTACTCTAGACATTCGACAGTGGCGACGTCCATTTTGCCAAACTCTTCTACTTCAATTCATGCATCCCACAACACTAAAATCCCAAACAAAAATGGGTATGAATCTAATTGAACCAATTATCCCCCCACCATTTCAATTTCTGGTCCAAAACTCTCCACGGGTGCAATGGACAGAGATAGCTATCTGATCAAAATTGGTGGGGTCCTAAGTTCTCCAATCTTCAAATTCGTGTGGGGGAGGATGGTTGGAGAGTGAAGCGAGGTTGGCGATGGAGAAGCCTGGTGGGTGTGATGGCCGAAAGGTGGTGCTATGTGAATCTATAGGAAATAGCTTGGTAGATTGTGAAAGTGGTGGTGGTGAAGAATTTATAATTTCTTTGTAATTTTTTTAAAAACTTAAAGACTATAGTTGCAGTTGGTTATTCATCTTTTTCTTTTGTTTTATTTGAATGGAAGGGTAAAATCGTCTTTTATTGAAAAAATGGTTGAAAAGGACCTTTTGCGCAATGAAAGACGAAAGGTATGGGTGAAATGCTAAAAAATGAAAGGTAAGGACGTATTGCACAATGACATTGAAACGTATGGATGTTCTGTGCTATTTATCCTTCAAATATTATAACTCCAGCGGTTTCGGCGAGGATCCATGCATCATGTGTAACCTATTCTGAATTTCTCTTCCTCTTTTGTACTTGATTTGATGGCAATGATTGTTTACAAGTTCTTAAATTATGCGTATACCATTAGTCAGAGTTTTGATACTAAACCATTGCGTAATAGAAAAAATAAAGATGTCGAGTGCCTAAATAAATAGTAAATACTTCAAATTGATCCTAGTCAATAAGATTGACCAATTCATAACAATTTGGTACATATTATAAAATATGTTATAAAATAGAAAGAAAAGGAGAGGAAAGTAGAGGTCTGAATAGACTTATTTATATTCAATTGAAAAACCAAAACTCTATATTTATATAGAAGAATTATGGTTGAAAGGAATACAATAGTCTTAATAACTAAGACTGTATAGGTATGATGATCATTCACTAATAAATATATAGGGGGTGTTTGATGGATATTATTGAGGAAAAAATGTATTTTAAATAGTGATATAATGTTAATTATGTGGTTAAAAAATAAGGAAAAATTATTGATGTGATGAAAAATATTATTTTATTGAAAAATGTGTGGTTGAAAATGAGTTTTGAAAGAAAGCATTTTGAAAGAACGTGTATCAAATAGTGGCATAATTTACAATACTTCTTCTTGAATGACACATTATAAAATATATGCCTCACTAAAACTTTATCAAAAAAATCCAATAAAACAAAACTTCAGTTAAGAAAAAAGAGTATGATTGCTCCCCTGATTTCAATAAATGAAAATTCTTGTATCGAACCATCCATGTTTTATACGTCTATGTTTTCAATATCAGTATGATGATCCATTGAAAAATAGATTTTGTTATTATTCTCTTTGAGAATTGTACACAATTTGTAATATGTACTAATATTATTTTGAGGGTAATATCTTGTATGTTATAGATATTCATTACATAAAGAATATGTCTCGTTAAAATCTTATTAAGAAAAACTCCGTGGCAAAAAATCTTAATGAAAGAAAAATAGTATATATTTTTTTGAGTACACTATAAAATTTGTCTCATTAACCACCTTGCCATGAAAATCCGTTGAGACAAAATCTTGGTCTGGGAAAAAATAGTACAACACGTATTTACTCCTCTCATGATAATATCACTAAATTATATGCTTCGAGCATAATAAATACTTCAAAGATAACATAGTCATGCCAGATAAATTGACTATAATTGCATTTCAAATTTCATGCATAGTTAGGATGATAAGATATGGACTTGTGATTGCATCCACCACAACTTTTACAAAATTTATTATGTTAAGAGTTGTCCATTACATGTTCCGACTTTATTTTTCTCATTTACTTTTCGTATATGTACGCATCTATAGATTTTTAGACTGCAGGTCTAAAAACTTCAAGATTCTTTAGTAAATTCAATTTTACTAGGATTACATAATTTTATTTGACCAATTATTTCTTTGATCGATATACTTCAATAAACTTATTTTGATATCCTAGCTATTCATAATATGAGCCATACATTATGTACAAAAACATTGTCGATAACTTTTTATTTTCGATTCTATTTCTTTTTTATAATGATATAACTTATTGAAATATTTCAATTTTCAACATTTCAGGTACCTGAACATTTCCTGAGATTTTACATTTTATTATGTCTGTGCACTTTCCAAAAATATATGCCTCCTAAATTGGACCATCTTCCTTATATGCTATATTTTCTTTTGAAGTGAGTTAACGACGTCCTTTCAATTTTGTTACGACATTCAATGTTGATGTCAAAAGATGTGAGTATTTAAGACATTGCTTTATGTCAGTTATATGCCATAAAGAACCTTTAAAGCATATGAATGTAGTAAACTATGTTGTAGCGAAAGTATCTTTTTAACGTCTAAAGCATATTTGAAAAGAGTAATGGAATTAAATGAGTGTCATTCATTTTTATATTTAATTGGACATATCATTAAGTGTCGGTGTTAAATATCATTATTCATTTATAATGACTTTATTCATTTAATGGTAAATAATGATTTTATTAAAACAACTTTGTTGTTGATGAAATGTTAACAACAAAAAATTTCATCACTAAGACCCAATTGAGAATTAATTTTCAAAATTAATTTTTTTTCAAACTCATTTTCATAATACATTTTTACTAAAAAATAATCTTGCACAATTCAATTTTTTTTTAAATATTTTTTAATCACACCAAAAATAAAAAATCATTTTTACAAAATTTATTTTAAAATTGGAACTAAAAGTAAAGAATTCTACTTGTACAGTTTTTTTTTGGACAATTCATGTATTTTCAAAATTTGTGCCGTTAATTTTAAAAACAATTTTTTAATAAATTGTGTAGATTTCCGTAATTGTCAATTGTCACCGTTCAAAAGTAAAAGCATCAATCTTTTGGAGGTGCAATTTTATAGTAACAGTCGCTAAGGATTCGAGTGTGCATTTTCTTTTCCAATTAAGCCCTCTGCTGTCCACCCTGACGGCTGAACTCACCCCCACTCCTACAAAACGTACTTACTCTCACGGACACACCCACACATCGCAGCAACCGTGAGGAGGAGGAAGAATGAAGGCGGTAGTGATCACAAGCCCTGGTGGCCCAGAAGTGCTTCAGTTGAAAGAAGTTGATGACCCACAAATCCAAGATGATGAAGTTTTAATCAGAATTGTAGCCAGCGCACTCAATGGAGCTGATACCCTTCAGCGGATGGGTAGGTACGATCCACCTAAGGGTGACAGCCCGTACCTGGGTCTCGAATGTTCCGGTACCATCGAAGCCGTTGGGAAAAATGTTTCTCGCTGGAAAATTGGTGACCAGGTATTCCATCTATTCCTGGAATATTGATAGGATGATTGAATAAATGATTTATTGGGCAGTTTTCATCTGTTTTTTCTGTTTGTTTTTAAGCTGAATTATGGGTTTTATGTATTTATAATGTCTTTGTATTATGAATTGTTGGCTATGGAACCTGTATTTTGATTGACTAACCCTCTAAAGAATTTTATAATTATTGACGAAAAAGAGTTTTGAACTTGTTCTTATTTTGGGTATGAATGAGCCACAGAGGCACAAGCTTTTTGATAAATAACCATTATATTGTTCAATTTTGTGATGTCAATTTTCTTCTCAGTGGAGGACTAGGGGAAAAAATTATGATAGAAGGAAATTGTGTGAATGCAGGTATGTGCTTTAGTTGGTGGGGGAGGGTACGCAGAAAAAATAGCTGTACCTGCTGGGCAGGTTCTTCCTGTTCCACCTGGTGTTTCTTTGCAAGATGCAGCTAGTTTTCCTGAGGTAGCTTGTACAGTCTGGTCGACTATCTTTATGATGAGCCACCTATCCAAAGGGGAAACTTTACTGGTAAACTGCTTACTTGCTTTATTTTATTTTTCTGATCTAATTGATTGTTGTGATTCACCTTTTTAGCGGGAATTATTTTGGGGTGTGACCTATAAGTAGAAAAATATCAAAGTAAGACAGTACTTAAAAAAGTAATACTATTTGGATAGTTTTTGAATTTTGAAATGTATATTGGTCAATATAGAATTCAGCAAGGGAAAACCGTGAGCTTGGTGATGTAAAGTTGAAGCTGACTTTCTAATTGGAGGAGGGAGTGAGGAACTTGTCTGTTCATCTAGTTTAGCTACAATAAGGGTTGCACAATTTACTTTGACAGTTATGGATAATGCTCATCTTTATGATATGAATAAAGACCACAAAGAAGTACAACGATGTAATACACCTAAAATCTTTTCACTATAAATGCCTATTGCTGTTGATGGATCTAGTTTTGTTGC